TATGCATTGTACTTGGGGTATAAGCTCACCCAAAGTCCTCCAAAGACTATTTTCAGCGCTATTTTTTCTGGTATTCTAACTTTACGCTTTCATGAGAACAACTCAGAATAGAATGTGGGAGCCTGGATAGGTGCTACTAAAGCAACCATCTTGCCAAACGTCCTGGGCCGACGGTATTTACACCATTTCGACGTCGACACTTATCGCCAGCCACTTGATAACCGAAATTAAAGTGAAAATACCAGGTACTGAAGCAAATGAAAAGTGGTGTCATAATGTTTAACGTTGAAATAATTTCTAAAAGTGAACACATCATTTCGAGAAATAACTCTCAAACGTACAAGATTCGGAGCTTGTTGTGTAGCGGCCAGAAGCCTTGTTGTCGCACACAGGAGACCAGAGTTGAACTTCCGTTTGGGGATATTTTTTTAATCGAGCATCCTGGTCACTCTTCTGAGACGTTGTATCCCTCTCAACCCGGACTGGTTTTGACAGGCAGGATCGAAAAACATCTTTTAAATTATCGAAATTGTGTCGATGTGGGTGTAAAAACAGTTACATTTAAACAAATTTGAAACACAAAGGTCGGAGTTCGAGTCAAAAAGGTATGACAAACCATGCTCTCCCAAGATCAAACCAGAAAACAGCAAAACCTTTCATCATTTCACCCATTTTTATGTAGATGAACTCTTATGTACTCATACCTTAGAGGGGAAAATGTGGCTCCAGAAATCTATTTTAGTGCTTAGAACAATAACTAGAAGTTGTATAAAAGAAAACTCATTAAAAATACCCTTCTAACACGATATATATAATATATATATATATACATGTACAAAGACACACACACTCAGACATACACTCATACACACACACACACACACACACACACACACACACACACACACACACACACACACACACACACACATAAGCACACATACACACAGTCGCGATCACATACGTACACCAGGCGCGGTTCGTCCATAGAGCACGGTCGTGCAGTGCCGCACAGCATTTTCCAATGTTCTGTTACGTAAAACACCTACAATAATAAAATAAAAGA